ACCGCTCGGCTACCGTGACCGGCCTTATAGGCTTTTACATATTCATATTACAAGTCAAGAGCAATATTCAAGTCCATGTTGATCTTTTTTTTTTTATATTTACGGGACTGTTCATAAGGAGTTCGTCCCTCCTGGTCAGACAGTCAATAAAGTGGTCTATCGCGAGGTTCTAAGGCGTTTGAGGGAGGGCATGAGGAGACAACGTCCAGAGAAGTGGCCCAAGAACGACTGGGTACTCCACCATGACAACGCCCGAACGAATACGGCTTACATTGTGCAGGTATTTTTTTGCTAAAAACAAGATGGCAGTTGTTCCCCACCCACCGTACTCGCCAGACTTAGCTCCATGTGACTTCTTTCTCTTCCCCAAGATGAAAATCAAGTTGAAGGGGCGAAGATTTGATACAGTTGAGAAAATTCAAGCGGAAACGCAGACGATACTAAACACCCTAACAAAGAAAGACTTCCAGGATGTATTTCAAAAGTGGGAAAAGCTGGGATCGGTGTACGCGCTCCCAAGGGGACTACTTTGAAGGCGATGGTGCAGAATAAGATCCAGGTAAGTCGTAAGAGTTTCGGGAACTTTTGGATTGCACTACGTATATAGTGAGGTTAGATCAAATAGCGAGTAGCTCTCTTGTGTTGGAATACTTGTGGCTATGCCCCTCTGTGTGGTTTCTTGGCCCCTCTCTGATTCTCGAAGAAAATGCCGAAGTCGTGACCTTCAAACAGACAATGAAACATTGTCCCAGTCTTTAAATTTATTTCATTAGATACTAAAGCCATCTATAGTAAAACAGTGTTCTGACTCACGAATAAATTGTCTATTCGTTCTCCTGTCTATCCAATTGATCTTAAAATTAGAGTAATTACCTCCCCTATGTAAACTGGTATATTTTAGTGGTTAATAAGATTGTCAGCTACACGCGTATATTGAGAATAATTTACAGATATAATTAACCCTCATTACAACGGACCCCAATATAATGTGGTAACGGATATAACGGACAAAATATGGCTATATATAATTGTGAACTTTTAGAGATGCTGAGGCGCTAAAAAGGTTTCATAGCTAGACAAATATTTAAAATTCAAAAGAACTCCAAAGCAGAGAGCTTTATCTTATAACATTTGTGTTTCTATATTTGTTGCATGCATTGGCTATGCATGCTACAGTGTAATTCGTGAATACATATTCACTCGGTTATACCTCACACAGGCGATAATGGACACACTGTCCGATATTATTATCACGTTATAACGAGGGTTTACGTGCAATAAAATGATTGATATTAATTTCTTTTTCCTTCTGCCATTAAAATAGATGGAGTGATTATTTTGGTTTACTGATTAAGCACATGGAGTAAATGCACATGAACGCTGGTCAATCCATTTGCCAATTTAAACAAGGAGTGACGTGAATTCCTAAGTTTGCTAAACGAAATCTTATTTTTTTGTCCATCCAAAGCATTATTAATCCCATGTGAAGGATATGTTGTCTGTAGGCCTACATGTTTCAGAGTTTGCTTCAGTTCTGCATTGTGAAATCTTTTCTTGAAATCACAATTATGGGCCAACTTCTATAAGGGCGGGGAAGCTTATCTAATCAAATGTAACGGCCGTGAGTTATCAGCCACTTTGACTATTATACTCGGGATCTCTGAGGTTCAACACGCACATCTCCAAGAGATTTTCAAGGAGTCGGCACGGCGCGCAGCTCAACACTGAACTCAATATGCGCACTACATCACATCGACTTGCGATCTTCGTGCTAAGTCTTCTGTTTCTTGTAGCAGTTTTCTGTCTAAGCTCTTCTGGTGAGTAAACAGTTCATACATTTGTACCTTAGAGCGTTACGTTACGTAGCTCGTGGCAGCCGTAAGAAAACAGACTGCGGCTCGGTGGTGGACACGGAGATTTTCTTCCTGATCAAATGATCGTCGATTCCGGTAGCTGTACAACAGAGATTTGTACGGACGCTTGTCTTTCGGACACTAGAATAACATGTTTGAATACAACAGTATGGAGACCAAATGAACTTGTAAGATGGGGAAAAAAAAAATACTATTGAGGCGTTAAGAACGAAAAATTTGCTTTGGAAAATATTAGTAATTAATGGTAAAAATTGGAAAAATAAAATCTTAATTGTGGTTCCAAAATGTAGTGACTTTTTGGTAGAAACGTTGTTAGTGTATTTCATCCGAATATTTTCCAATGTCTGTTTTTAAAAATTAAAAAAATTATATTTACGTTTCAGAGGGTGACATTGTCTTCGTCTTTTTGTAAAACTTTGAAGAGGGTGAAAGGAAAATTCCTACACTATAAAACCATTTAAAAAATTCTTCTTGTTGCAAGCAGCAAGATTAGTCTGAATTATTCGGAAAAAGTAAGGTAAAGTTACCCCCTCAACAGGCCGTGGAGGTCCATAGGGTTGTGAGAGATTGAAGCTAGATCTTCTAGACAATCGGCTCACAGATGGCGGTAAGATTGTCAGCCTTACTCACCGGTCACCCTTTACCTCCCAGGAAGATTACTATTACTCATTTCTGTTAGAGACTAAGCCGACCCCATGGCCATATTGCTGCTGGAGAGATTAGGTAAATTAAAATTTTTAACCTCATCGGGACTCGAACCCGCGACCTTCCGATTTGTAGCATAGTGCCTCAACCAACTACGGTACTGCGTACTCCCATTGGAAAAAGTAAGGCGTCTTCATTTCTGCTTCCTCAAACTGCGACTACTCAAGTTTTGAGAATAAAATTTGTGAAATATTTGAAAAGAAACCGCTGCACAAAACACGCGAGCCTGTGCCACATTGTCTGATAGTACAGTAAGTAAATAAAAACATGGTTAGAGTTTTGATGGGATTGTGTTGAGCGTAAGGAAACAAGAATTACATAAATAATTCTGGTGCGGAAACATCTGGATATTTAGGTTATTTAGTGACGCTGTTTTAACTGATACGGATAGAATTATGTGAGGTAAGTAATCGAAGTAGAAGACACAAGTCTGGCTCCAACTACTAATTGTAAGGGGAACACATCGGAGATGAAATATATTGGTAACCATGAGCAGCGCATTGTTTTCCACGTGACCTTGTCAGACATCTGCTGCTGGATCACAGTTCTGACACCATTTATCTATCCACCCACCTACCTACCCACACATCAATCTATCCGCCTGTCCATCCATCCCTCCGTCTGCCCATGTATCCCTCCGTCTGTACATCTATCCCTCCTTCTGTCCATCAGTCCATCCGTCTGTTCATCTTTCCATCCATGTGTCCATCCATCCACACGTCTGTCCATCTATCCCTCCGTTCGTCCGCCTATACATCCATCCATCCATCCATCTATGCTCTACAGCCCTTGCGGACCTTGGCCGTTTTTTCAGTTTCTTAATATATACACAATTGGTAGGACTTCTTGGACGAGGATCGGCCCGTCTCAAGACCGCCACCTACACATAGAACAACACAAACACAGAATAAACGGACACAAACATCCATGCCCCGAGTGGGATTCGAACCCACAATCGTAGTGTTCAAGCGTCTGAAGATGGTTTATGCTTTAGACGCGTGGCCCGTGTGATCGGCGCCGAGGGAGTCCAGTTACCCTCATATGGACGCGATCGTTATGGTATGGTCGAAAGAGCCGTATATCACCAAGAGCCAATATCTGGGCGATGAAGCATAATGATCTAACTTGAATACTACAATCTACTGTGAAGGGTATGCAGTATCTAACAAACTTTGTATCCGATGACTGAAAACAGGTGCGAGGCTCAGTTTTTGAGAATGACTTTCTTGCTCCTTGCAATGGCTTCGATATAACTAAACGTCCTTGACCAGTGGCGTAGAAAAAATTTTTAGATCCGTTACACAGAAATTCATTCCGAGGAATGTGAATTAAAGATGTCCTTTGCACTAATAACAACATATGATTGGAAGACATGTGAAGCAATTGTATGAATAAAGTTCTATGTAATACACGCTTCATAATCGTATGGGGTGAAGTGCCGTCGGGTTTTAGTTCGAACTCTGAAGGATCGTGGACGGAGTCCTGAGAAATTTTATAGGTTTCATTAAGACTTCAAGTTATAAGTTCCTCCAGCTTCCTGAAAAACTTCTTCGATTTTCCTGACGATATGCAGTTGCGTAATAACTCAGTTTTGAGAAATATATTTCAATTGGACCCACCATTTTCCTTGAACAATTAAATTAATAATATGTATGTACTATAGGCCTAGGAATATGCCGATCAAGAAAAATAGAAAAATTTGAAGAGGTATATTCTGTTAAAACACTATTCAGTGGAATAAGTTTTCAAGAAACAAATGCCTCGAATATGAACAATCGCGCAGCACCTTATAACTCACAGGCGACTAAAGTCTATTTAGTAAATAATTCAAGTATCTGTGATCTTATCTTGAGAACAGGGTCTTGAGGAGAATATTTGGACCGAAGAGAAATGAAGTGATAGGAGGTTGGAGAAAATTGCATAATGAGGAGCTTCATAACTTGTACTCTTCTCCAAATCCAACTTGAATGAACAAGTCAAGGAGGATGAGCTGGGCAGGTCATGTAACACGAATGGGGAGACGAGGAATGCGTGTAGGATATTGGTGGGAAAGTCAGAAGGAAAGAGACCACAGGGAAGACCAAGGCGTAGGTGGGTGGACAATATTAGAATGGATCTTGGAGAGATAGGATGGGATGGTATGGACTGGATAGATCTGGCTCAGGATAGGCACCAGTGGAGTGCTCTTGTGAACACGGTAATGAACCTTCGGGTTCTATAAAATTCTGGAAAATTCTTGAGTAGCTGCAGAATTGGTGGCTCCTCCAGAAGATCTCAGCTCCATTAGTAAGTAAGTAACGTGTGATCTTATCGAAAGTATCAAGAACGAATATGTGGGGGTGGGCGTTATGCACTCCAAAACTGACTCTCCATCACGTGTTCACTCGATCCGATATTTCTGGAAGTGCCAGAAGCACCGCTAAAAACAAATTCCTTTGCAATCCCCGGCAGCTGCGCTGATGTGTTATGTTTAACTGTTTCCAACTTTTCCTTTCAAATTCTTCTTTAAGTTTAGGGGACATACGTAACACGTTGTAAGGAGCCATATCTTGTACTCGGGAATGTTAGTTTGCCTTCTGAGGACAAGAAGACTATTCATTTCTCATTTAGAAGCTACAGATCACACCACAAGGTCACGACACGGCGCATTGTTTGATTGTGGGTGAAGGTGTCCACTTACAGATGAAATTTTTTGCCAGTATGTGTAACGAGAAATTGCAGGTCAGGCAACAAGTGGCGGTCCTCCAGCCTGGAGTCTGGCATATGGATACACCCCATCATGGCAAAACACGGCATAATGTTGTTCCTGTGCTTAATTAGATAGAAGATGTATGTGGGAGTGGCGATATGATTCCACATATTCTTATTTTCTGGACTAAGTGACCCCACTTGGTTTAATCATGGGGGCAAGCCACTGGCATCCAGGAGACAAAACGATGTTTCGGCCCCAGAGTCTATCTAGTGGAGGCGGTAAATCCTTGAAAATTGGAATTTGTGAAAAGAATAGAAGAATTAATCTATTACTAATTCTTTGCTACGACTTAAGGAACGTTAAAAGTAACACAATGGAAGGTTAAAATGAGAAGTGCATAGAAAGTCTTGTACGGAAATCCTCGAAAGAAAACTTCACATAGATCAGATCTCAGAGAAACAGAATGTGAATGTGCAGATTATGTTTATGTGGATTCTGGTCGGGTATAACGGTGGGATTTGTGAAAACGGTGACAAAGCATCGTGTTGCATAAAAATAACGAGTTTATTGACCAGCTGAGTATCTTTTCAAGAATGCCCCGTGTTACAGATTTATTTAATAGACAACGAGATAGATCACTTTCGGACGAACTTTTGATATTTCCTTGCTTTTTCTACATATGTGTTCTACTTCAGCGTCACACCGATGCCAGTCTGTCCAAAGTGCGGAGGTGTTCTCCACTCCCCTTGTATAATTATCCTTGTATGCCACCACTGGGACAAAGTTAACTGACGTTTTGTTATGTAAACATATCATCAATACGTATCAGCATCATCGGATCTGTTGCCTGTTCTGAGGTGAACCAAAGCACGTGCCTGCTTCCATTCATGTTGGTTTCTCAGTCAAACCTCCTAGCTCCGGGATAACAGTCTGTGAACTCTGTCGGTGTTAGTTCGTACTAACGTTGACTGTAAACTTACTGGACGAGATGGCCGTGCCACAGCTCAAGCGGTTAGTCGCTGGCTTCCCACCGCGGCGGCTCGGGTTCGATCCCGGGTCTATTCAAGTGGGATTTGTGATGGACAAAGTGGCTCTGGGGCAGGTTTTCTCCGAGTACTTCGGTTTCCCCTGCCAATCTTCATTCCACCAATTGCTCCACAATCACCTTCACCTATCATCTGGGGATGGTACAATAGGCCAGAAGTGGCGGCAGTACAAGGGACTTAGTCCCACCCCACTAGCAATAATAAAAAAAAAATACTGGATCAGATGAAATACAATTGCTATTCATTCCCAGGCATGATAATGACGACATGTATGCTGATAGTCTCTTATGCCCTCGCTTCGAATCAAGTCCGTAATTTATTAGATCTCTGTATGGTAGGCGCACATAAAATAGAAATCTTAATCCCTTAAGTTTTGGGAGGGGGGTGAAAGGGAAGTGAGATTTGAGCTTCTTAAGGTCGTGGCTATGAAATATACTGCCTTCTGAGACTTGAGACCGTGTAGTGTGATAAAAATACACTTGAATTTGCTAAAATTCTAT